GCATGGCCCTTTTGGGTCCCCACAGACACCAAGGTTTCCTCCTGGGAACCTCAATATATCCTAGCTGGTCTTGTACCCCAATACCCACCTGCTTCACAGGGATTCCTACCAGAAAATCACTCTCAGTTTGCCTGGTGAGGAGGAAGGAACCCCAGGGTTGAGCTAGGACAGGGGCCACAATTTTGGTGTTGGGGACCTCTGTTGGTAGCCTGGCTCAATATCCCGCATTCTCAGTTCTCTTGCGGCAGATAGGACGGTATCCCCTGCCTGATGATGGGGTGTGACCCCCACTGTAGCCAACTGACCATCACCTCCCAGGCCCTAGGGACGGGCCAATCAGGACCACAGACACTGGGGACTTTCGCTGGGACTCTCAGGAACAAGTACTTTCCTTCCAACAGCCTTGAAGTGAAGTTCTGCAATTCTGGCCCACCACAGGGAAGCGCCCAGTTAGGAAGCACATGAGGGCAAGCAAGAGAGACAATTTCCAGGGGAGAGGCTAGGCCCAGTCCCCTCCCCCGTCTCATTCATCTGCTTTGGTTTGGTTTTGAGACAGGATATTCTGATGCCGTTTAGATTGGCCTCGAACTCACAGCAATTCTCCTGCCTCAGCCTCCTGAGTGCTGGGATTACAGGTGTACGCCACCACATCCAGCTGCGCTTCTCTTTTTATTCTTTTGGCACCAGAAATTGAACTCAGGACCTTGTGCTTGTCACACCAGCACTGTGCTACTGAGCTACATCTCTGGCCCTGGGCTTCCCATTTTTGATGAGTAATAAATTCCCTAAACCACCCTGGATTGGGTCCCCCATACCCGGGTGTAGCACAAAGGTGCTTGACTGGTGCAGACAGTGAGGAGGGGGACTCCTAGGTGGCCGGCTTTGTCTTCCACAAAGCCATAGGTGGCCTTCCCTGGCTCCAACACCGATGAGTAGAAGCCAGGAGCCCTGTGCCCCCAGCCAGCACCTCCTATGTGCAATGCTGGCATCCCGGGGACTGGAGGACTAGAATGAGAACCATCTGGGCTGCTGCTGGGAGCCCCAAGATGGACACTGAGCCCCACACCAGGGCTTCCCAGAGGGCTCCAGGCGCTGCTGGCTGACTCAGAAAGGCCCTGAAGATCTGCGAGTGACTTGAACACAGGAAGAGGGTACAAAGACCCTTGGACTTTTCCAAAGGGAGCCATTCCAGCCCAGGGAGGAGACCCAGACCCACCTCTCCCAGAGGCCCTTTGAGAATATTTCTGGGAACAGCTAGAGATTGCTGGGAAAGGAGCGCCAGGGGTGGGAAGAACCCGGATGCTGTGGGAAGTAGGCAGTGCGGAGTGTCCCGGGAGGAGCCGAGGGCGAGTGCGGGAATGTTCCTGATGGTTCTTCCGTGCTGGAGCCTTTGGGAAAGATCGCTGCCCCTGAGGTCGATAGCTCAGCTGGAGCATTATGCGAGATGGGGTGACTGTGGGAACCCCTAACTTCAGGTCCTGGAGGGACTCGTTGTGCAGGTGGGGCTGAGGAGGGCCGGCGAGCCTGGACGGGCCTGGCGCTAGGGCAGCCAGTGTGGGTCTTGAGTGCACTGCAAGGAGCTGGCTCCTGGGGTGGCCCAGGCAGGAAGACTGCAGAGGGGGCATAGTGTATCCAGGAATGGTCAGCGGAGGGCAGGGGTGCTGGGGAGAGTGGGGGACAGGAGGCCAAAGAGGGAGCCCGCCTGGCTTTGGATCTGCTGCAGCCAGATGCCTGGGCCCTGGCCTGGTCCCCCAGCCTTCTGCTTACCAACTGCCGTCAAGCAGGGGAGGAATCTGCTTTGCATTATCCCAAGAGCTGCCTCCCCCAGGCATATGGTCTGCAGACCCCAGCGCAGAGCACCATGAGAGATGGCACCCCTTGGCCCCGCACTCTGGCCCAGCCCCTTCTTTCCTGGGAGCATGGGTGCAGAGCCCCCCATGCTGTTACGTGGTGTAGCTCCCTGGCCTTGACAAAGATGGAGAATGAAAGAGCCAACCAGAGGCTCCAGGGTCACAACCAGGGTGGGGCGACACCTGGGGGATGGCAGAGGGTGGGGTGCCAAGAACTCCAGTGTCACAGAGGAAGCACGGGACCCCTGAGTCCCCCAGTGCTCCGAATGAGTGAGTCCTTACAGCCCTGCCACCCTAGCATGTTTGGTCACCAGCGGTCTCAGCGAATGAGCCCTTTACATGTAACAAGTTCATCGTAAGAATAAAAGATACAACATTTAGATAGCTGAGCAGGACAAAATATCTAAAGTATTTCAATAATAATTTTAACTTTTTTTTTTCCGGTACCAGGGATCGAATTTGGGACCTTGTGCATGCCAGTCAGGTACTTAGGCCGCTGAGCTGACTCCCAGGCCCAATAATTTTAAGATTTTTTTTTTTTTTTGCAGAACTGGGGATTGAACTAATTTTAAGATATTGACTGTGTGTTGAAATACTTCTTTAGATTAGGCTACCCCTACTAGGAAATTCACCCACTGCTTTTTCACTCACGTGATGGTTACTAAATTACTTTAAATTCCATGTATATCCCTTGCATTATCTCTCTGTTGAACAGAGCTGCTTCAGGGGCACATCCATTCACGTATTAAGCATAATTCTGTCAGATGTCAGCTCCACAACAGGCAAGGTGCTCAGGATTAGAGACAGCAAATCCAGAGCTTATCTCTGGTTTCCTGGAGTTTGCAGTAATCAAGTCATCATTCAAACAGGTGCCTAATGACAAAGAGAGGAAGTGGTCTAAGACAAAGGAACAGACCAGACCGGGGCATAGTGAAGCTGGTGTCTGCAAGCCTGATTTGGGCGGCGCTGCCTCAGGCATGTGGCTGGGCAAGAGGGTGTCAGACAAAGGAACAGCGGGTGAAAACGTCCTGCGGCAGAGAGAAGGGCACAGCGGAGAGGTTTGCAAGCCGACTACTTGGGGGATCTCTGAGAGTGAAGAGAGCTGTGAGGGGGCCAGGGAGAGAGCTCAGTAGAATAAGCGCTTGCCTGGTGAGTGCAAGGTCCTGAGTTCAATCCCCAGTACCGCCAAAAAAAAAAAATTGAGAAATGTCAGGGTCACACCCAGCTGGAGGAGGGTAGAGGTCGGGCTAGGGATGCAGCGGGACCTATAAGGATTTGTGCCCCATCCCCAGGGCTTGCTCGGCCTCCTAAAATGCTTCCTAAACTCCAACACGGAGCCTGGGAGCTGGTTCAGTGCCAGAGCTAAAGCTGCAGGCTCAGTCTTCAGCACCAAAAACAAATAAAACAAACCCAGATCTATGGGCAGCACCGCCAGGCTTCCACTCCCCACCAGGGTTCCCAAGTCCTAAGGACTCTGTCCAGACCCCTCTGCCAGACTCCTCATGAGGCCTGACCCACGGCTCCTGCGGCTCCCCCCCCCCCACTTCCTGCCGGCTTCTGGACATGGAGCTTCCCCAGGCCTGCTTCGCTCTGTTCCCCTCCAGGATGACCCCAATTTAGCCACAAACACTCCTCCCCCCTCTTAGCTTACTGTCCTCAGGGCTCACCCTTCCCTGACCCAGGAGCCAGGAGCCAGGAGCCAGGAGCCGCTGGGTCCCCGTGTACCCTGATGTGTGCACACTATCTAGGGCCTCTCTGCTCTGAGTCAAGAATGTACAGTTGTGGGGTTGGGGTGTCGTTCTGTGGTGGAGGGCTTACCTGGCCTGCTCAGGGCCCTGGGCTTATTTCCAGCACCATAAAAACAACAAACAGGGACCAGGGAGATAGCTCAGTGGAATAAGTGAGTTTGATCCCTGGTACCACCAAAAAACAAACAAACAAACAAACAAACAAAAAAACAAAAAAAAACACCACAACAGACAAATAAATGTATGCAGTTGCAAGCCCAGCATGGTGGTACACGCCTGTAATCTCAGCATTCAGGAGGCTGAGACAGGAGGATCATTGAGAGTTCAAGACTGACTGGCTGTGCTACACAGCAAACCCCTGTCTCAAACAACACAACACCACACACACACACACACACACACACACACACACACACTCCGGCAGTCCAGCACAGTACTATTGAGAAACCTGGGACAGGATCACTGAGTCCAGGAGCTTGAGGCCAGTGCAGACAGCAGTGAGACCGCAAAGCCAAAACAAGAGAAGGAATGCCTCCCACCTCCCGGGACAGCACCCAGCTCTTCTGCCAGGCAGGCGGCTTCTGAGGGTGGAGACTGCATTTCTGTCAGAGGAGGGGAGTAGGGGTCCTGAGGACAAGAGTTCTGATTAGGGACACCTCAAGCCAGGGCTGTCCCCTCCATCAGACATGGGCACCTACAAGTTGGAGATCATTTCTCTTTCCTCCTCCTAGGCCCTCCCTGTCACCACCCCGTATGTGTGGAGGGTGGACAGAAAGCCTCCCCATCCCTGGTGTCTCACTCCTGGTGGCCCAGCTGGCCCATCTCCCTGGACATGAAGTCAAGAAGGTGTCTCTGTTACTCTTTCTGGAAGCCCAGGCCTCCCAATGCTTTTCCCAGTGAGAGAAGACCTGGACCAGGCACTGGCAGAGCTGTCACCTGCCCAGCTGGCCTCAGAGAAGGGGAGCAGCCCAGGGCCAGGAAACCTGAGCCCCAGTAGCTCCCAGCCCAGGCCAGGCCAGGCCCCTAGCCAGACAGGCAGAAGCCAGGGTTGGGACCTGCCCACCAGAGCAGGGGGCGGGGTCTGCGTGACTCCTGGCCAGCCAGCCAGCCTCCTGCTGGGCCATCTGGAGCCAGAGTCTGTGTGTGCCTGTGTGAGGCCATGTGGGTGGCTGGGAGCTGTGGGTCATGACCTGGCTCTCCTAGCAAACCTCAGGGTCCCCTGTGGTCAGTTTCACTTCTGACATCTGGTCCACTGTGCAGCTGGCCAGCTTCCCACAGGACTGTTTCTACTTTCTCTGTCCATGATCTGGGGGCCAGCTCCAGTGCCTCCTGCACGCACGCAGCCCCAAGCAACTCAAACGGGCGAGCATACCCAGAAAACCTCTTCAAACTTTTTCTTTGCTATTTAATGTTCATCACTTATGTTCTATGTGAAGGCCCAAGACATGATTACACAGGATGCAGGGGGAGGTGACAGAGACGGTGACAGGAGGTCTGGGGCTCCCAGCTCCAGCTGCAGGGCCAAAAGAGTTCCTTCATAGCCCAGGGGAGGTAGGCAGGGCCCCAGAACCAAACACATGCGAAAACACACTTGTGCCCCCTCATCCCCTCCCCGATGGTGGGACAGGAAAATAAATACCCTCAGCCTGTCCCATGACCTCGGTGCTTGGGGGGGGGGGGACAGCAGGTGTGCTTCCTCCTGTCACTGACTGAAGTCACCTAGTGCAAGGCTCCTAGTCCCTAATGCAGGCGTGGGAGAGCCCTGGGTGGGGGAGGGGCGGCACACCTTGCACACCCTGCCCGGGCTCCTTCATGCTAAATGGGGGAGGGGGGCACACTCATTCCAACAGCAAGCAAAACAGAACACCGCCAGGAAGGGGCAAAAAGCCACCAAGACCCACGGCCCCCTTCTGGCCACACCAAGGAGAACAGTCCTTCGCAGGGTCCTCTGAGCTTGGGAGAGAGCCCTGGAGGTGACAAGTCCCACTTCATTCCTTCTTGCTCGGTTCCCACACCACAGGCCTGCTTGTCTTCACAGCAACCTCTGGGCTCAGCCAAGGCCCGACTGTGGGAAGGGGCGGGGAGCATTCCTCCACATGGGCCCCTGGAAGACGGGCTGACGCCAGCTCCAGCCTCAGCAGTCCTTGGCCGGCCAAGGCCGGGGTGCCGGAGACAGCCCAGCAGAGCTCAGCTCCCGTTGTACTGCCAGCAGCCCCAGCCAGGACCGGCCCTCAGCCCCAGAGTGAGGGCTCTTGGAGAAGAGCCGCGTCTCATCCTGTGTGTTCGTGTGGGGGCCCTGGGTCTCTGACCCCTAGGGCTGATTCTAGGGGCCAGTGTTGGCTCCAGTCTGTGCCAGGGCAAGGGGCCCCAGCAGACTGCGGGGAAAGCCCAAGGGGGACAGGCAGAGGGCAGTTGCACCCCTTCCCACAAACCCTGAACCTGAATCCCTGTAGACCTGAGAGCTGGGCCTTGGGCAAGCAGCCCACCCCAAAGGGGTACACGGGGGCCTAGATAGGTGCAGGGGAGGGACCTGAGTCCAAGACATGTCCTGAAGGCCCCTGAACTCCTCCCCCAGTACTCCACAGAGCCAGGGGCCCTCATTCAGAGGGGAGAGTGCCAGGCAGCCAGCAGGGCCCCATGGCTAGGTGGCATGAGGGAGGTCACTGCCTCTTTCTGGGCCTCACTGTCCTAAAGGAAGGGGGACAAGATTCCACCCCCACTCACAGCTCAGCCTGGTCTCTGATCTCTTATCTTGGGCCAGCAGGGAAAGTGAGGGGCTGAGGGAGGGTTTAGGCTACTATAGTGCCCCCTCGCTCTGCTCCCCAAGTTCACAGTGTAGAGTCCATGGCTCTGGTTCCTCAGGACCTCCTGCTGAGTCTCTGGGGCCTCGGCACTTTCCATACCATCCCTGGTGGCAGCCACCCCTAGCTCAGGGGGTAAGGGCTGCCCTAGCAGTGGGTGGAGAAGAAGGCAGGGTGGGGACGGGGCAGGCCACTTCTCCGGCTGGAGAGGGACTGTGGTCAGAAGTGAGGGGCCACTCGGAGGGGTGGCGGGGCTGTGGTAGGGGCCCAGGCTCAGAGGTCCTGCCCAGGGGAGCTCAGCTCTGCCGGGCCGGCCCACTCCAAGGAACGTGGGCTCCTCAGGAGTTGGCTGGAGCTTCGGTCATCAGAACACGGGGACAGGGTAGGGGCTGCGGTTGGCCAGCTCACACGGGGGATGTGGCTGTGGACTCGCTGCACAGGCTCTCCACGATGTCAGCTCGCTGGATGCGGCGCAGGGCGGCCAGGAGCGCGTCGAGCGTGGCGCTGTCCTGGGCAGCCCAACTGGCCAGCAGGGCGCGGGTGGGGCAGGCCTCCTGGGTGAAGGAGTCTATGTGCTCGGGCTCGTAGCCCAGCTCGCTGGCCAGGTGCCGCCAGGTGTCCCCCGCCGAGCCGTTCAGCAGCTTCTCCACCTCCTCCCTCTTGGCTGGGGGCAAACTGCTATAGAGGCCACCTTCACCCTTGAGAGCTGGGGAACCGAGAGGGGGTCAGGCTGGGCCCTGCACACTTCCTTCCCACAGCAGGCCAGGGGCTGGCAGGGGACCCCAGAGCCCAGCCCGCACCTCCTACTACAGACGCTGGGCTGGGGCAGGTCGCCGGAGGGGATGCTGGCATGCTGTCTCCTCCTTACCCGCTGCTCTGGCACCATCCCTGCCACCTCACTCACCCCTCCCATTCCTCAGTAATTAATCAAGGCAGAGGTGGAGACAGGCCTACCAGCTCCAGACAACTGCAGCGACTAAGTGTCCGGGAGCTAGGCTGTGGGCCACTAATTAGGATCCGTACTTGGCCACTTGCTCCCCAGAAGTCCAGGGCAGGAGGCTAATTGCAGTTACTTTGGGCAGTAATTAGCCCCCAGGGGGGACAATTAGCTTGATGAGCCTGGATGTTCCAACGTGCAGAATCTTCTATTTCCTGGGTCACTCCTGGGAAGGACCCCACCTTCCCCTGCCCACAGCCATGGTCCAGTCCCTAGTCCGACCTTCATCAGGGTGCCCCCCCCCCCCGCCCACCACTCACCCTGGCCCGAGGCTGTCTGCGTGTGGGGCTGCTGGTCATGCAGGCTCTGGCTGTCCACAGAGATACCGCTGTCACTGTGCAGTTTTTCGCCCTCAGGTGGGGGTGTCTGGTTCACCGGTCTGCTGTTGGCTCCTTGCTTATTCTGCTTGCAGCTGTTCCACCTAGAGCCGGGGAATAGGCCGGGCCTTGGGGTGAGGGGCGGTGTCACCACCTGAGCTGCAGGTCTCTGCTCTGATGTGTGGGCCAAGGGCACAGCAGAGCCCCGAGCGATCTAAGGGCTTGTGACACGCCCAGGACAGCTCTGTGAGGTTATGGGGCACTCAGTTAGCACTCAGTAAACATTTATGGAATGAGTGGTACATAAATAAATAACCTCTCAGGAATTCCGCTTCGCCCCATCTCCTCTTCCAAATTACTCCCACATGCGGACAGCTATACACACAAGGATTTCCTATGCAATTATAAGCAATAACAAAAAACAGAAAACTAACCAAATGCGCATCACAAGGGGACTGGCGACAGAAATGATCTTGTCTGCCCACACTGTTGAACGAATATTTGCAGCTAATCAGATAATTTGTGTGAATGCAAACACACAGAGGCGAATGGGTAGAGTGTGACCGTGTTGAGGCTTTAAGAAAAACCTACATGTCTACATCTGATCATAAAAAGCTTTATATACATGCACTTATATTAAAACAAATGCATAGAAAATAATTGGGAAGGATCTGCTCCAGCAGATTCCAATGAGGAATTTTCCTAAACAATCACGTAGTGCTCTGATGACTTAAAACAATAAAGAATGGAAAATGCATTTGAAGCTTAAAAATGCTGTCCTGGCATTCCGCATGCTAGGTCCCTGGATCTGATGCCATAGGAGCTCAATAGGGACGTGGAAGGAGGAAGAGACGCATGCACATCCATAATGGTGGGGTGAATGGGGTGGGGGATAAGGGGCAAGCTGTGGGGGTCAGGGAGGAGCCTGACATGGGATTGAGTTAGAGACTGTGTGTCGCTGGGCATGGTGGTGCATGCCTGTTACCCAAGAACTCTGGGAAGCTGAGGCAGGAGAATCAGAAGTTTGAGCCCAGACTGAAAAATTTAGCAAGAACCTGACTTATAAAAACCTCTGTAGCTCAGTGGGAAGTTCCTGGGCTTAATGCCTAGGACCAGCAAAAAAAAAAAAAGTCTGAGATTTCAGGCCAAGCCCCTGAGGATATGTGTGCCCCCACTCTTGCCCACCACGCCCTCTCACCTCTTGAACACGATGTAGGCCACAAGGCCTACAACCACGGCAGCCAGGATGGAGCAGTAGATGGGGATGAGGTTGTCGGCGGTGCCTCGGGTCACTACAGGCTGGGAGCTGCCCATCACAGTGGTCACCACATCTGCCACGGTGCTGGCCACGAGGTCCTGTTCCTGCTCCTCAGGCTCCTGGGTGCTGGGTGCCATACTGTCTGCACCCTCTGGGGGTGTGGACCGCGTGATCCAGCGGCCAGGGATCTCTGGGGGGAGAAGGGCTTCGGGAGTGAGGGTCAGACCACTGCTGTGCTTCTGGGCCTTCATTCCTGCCTCAGTGCTGAGGGCCCAGTTGTTCTTCATGAACCTGTGTGTGTGTGTGTGTGTGTGTGTGTGTGTGTGTGTGTGTGTGTGATTGTGCTGGTGGTGAAGAGCAGGGGCTGCTACAGAACAGCCTGGCACTCAGCCCCTTCCTGTTTCTGAGGCCCAGGCCCCAGGCTGGGGCTCTGGGTGCAGGGCATGGCTGATGTATGTCCCTACCACCAGTCTTGGGTGGTGGCCAGACTCTGCTGCCCCACACAGCCTGGCTGGGCCACTGACATAAGACGGTGCCAGGTAGCCCAAGGCCTCCTTAGCAGGAAGCTGGCTGCCAATGGAGAAGGCTTACGAGGCAGGGAATGCCCCCTGCTTTGGGGGAGGGAGGTTGTGCCTGGCCACCCACCTTGGTCCTCTCATGCCAGCTGGGTATTGGCAGCCTCCCTGACAGGAGCCTGGGTGCTTCCTGGCACCAGTGGGTGGGATTTTCCATTCTGCCACCCAGTCAAGGGCTGTGCTAGGGTTGTGGGCTCTGGATGGCCTGGGGGTACCTGCCTGGGCAGAGTTACCCACCAAATCTGTCCTAGCCTCCCTCTCCAGGGCAGGGAGGGAAAGCAGACAGGGCATGCCAACGGGGTGAAGGGGAGGACAACTTGCTCCCCAGCGTTGGAGTCAAAGCTGCTCACCAGCCTTCCAGGCCTCTCTATAGGTACCTTCTATGAAGTGAGGCTGCCAGACATGGGCCTGGAATCCACATGGGGAGAGGCTGCTATGTACCACCCCATCCTAACCTTCCCCGACCGCAGCCCCCGGGTAGGGGTACAGGCTGCAGATACAGCTCTATGCAGACTGAACCTGGGCCTGGAGGCAGAAAGGTAGGGGAATGGAGATAAGGCCCAGGCCAGTACAGAAATGAGAGAATACACCTGAAGACAGCACTGACCATCCGGGACACTTTCTTTCACGTCTCTGAGCCCCCACGATGGGGATGGGATGAGTTCCAGATGTGACCACAGCACTAGCATTCCAACCCACTAAGCCCTTGGCAGGCCCTGACAGCCACTTCCGGAATGGGAGCTATCCAACTTGGGGGTGGAAGGAGGAACCAGGCTACCCCTCCTGAAATTCACTGGGGTGGGGGCGGGGGGGGGATTTCTGCCCTCAGGTGGCTGAGTCACCAAGCGGACACCTGAAATGTATACCCAGGACAGCAGGGGGAAACCAGGCCCGAATCAAATTCCACTTCCTGAAAGGGACCCTCTGCCTGGAGTTGACACTTTACCCTTAGAAGCTGGGGCTGAAAGGGGAACAGGGCAAGGATCACCATGTCCCTTGGGTGCCCTCTGGTCAGAGGTGGCTGGGAATGCGAGCACCCCTCCCCCTGCCACCCCCTCTCCTGGCTCCCACCTTGGCCCTGCCTAAGTGCCCCCCCTGGCTCGCCTAGACTTGCTCTGGAATGCCACTGCTCACTTGTCTGCTGAGCCTGCTCCTGCCTTGGCTTGGTGCCTGATGCCACTTGCCCATCTCTGTCTCAGGGCAACCTCCACAGAGCCCGGCTAGGGTGAACACCCTGTTCTTCCTCCGCTCTCTCCCCAGGCAGGAAGTGTTCTCTGCATTCAGCCTCATCTTTCACTAAACAGCCACAAGACCGTGGCCCTGTCCCCAGCTCCACAGGTAAAGCAGGGCCCATCCCACTGTGTGGGCTTTAACCCCCAACAACCCCAAAACCAGATGAGTAGGGAGGAAGCAGAACTTCAGGAGAGAGAGGCATCACTCAGATATGACAGGACGAGCTCTGTGCCAGGGCCTACGCAAAAGCCACCATGAACCAGGCCTCTGAGCGAAGAGTCCTACTCTTGCCAGCTTTGGCCCCCTTACCTAGCAGGGAGCTTGCCTTGGGGGGAAGATGCCCTGCTCTGAGCTCTGACGGCCAATTTCTTCAGTGGCCATGTGCTGTCATCTGAGCACTAGCTGATGGCCAAGGATGAACAAGTGGGTAAATGTAGCCACTGCACCCTGGGCGATCAGGCCAGCTCTGAACGCTTAACCCAGAGCCAGAAATGAAGCTAAAGGACCCCTGTACAGCACAGGATCAGGACCCACCATGAAGACCCACGAAGGACACCCTCTTCTACCAGGTCACAGAGCTGCCTCCAGGCCGACTGGACCCCGGAGACCCCCAGAGGGCGCCCTCGCCCATCCCAGCCCCGCGCGCGTGCACGCCCCGGGCTCACCCTCACACTCTGCATCCGCCCAGCGCGTGCACTCGCGCAGCTGGCGCTCTGTGTCTTCACACACCGTGCACGGCAGGCACGGGTCCACGTGGTTGGCCTCATCAGAGTAGGTGCCGTCGGGGCACTCCTCACACACGGTGTTCTGCTTGTCCTGGCACGAGTACACGAGGCCTGAGCCCCTCTCACACACACTGCACGCCTCGCAGCGGCCGGTCGCCTCGTCCTGGTAGTAGCCGTAGGCGCAGCGGCACACGGCATCGTCCGCCTCCACGCACGGCGCCGACATGCTCTGCAGGCCCACGCACTCGGTGCACGGCTTGCACGGCTCGGTGGCGCTCACCACGTCGGAGAATGTCACGCCTGCAGGCAGAGGGACAGGCTGGGGAGCTGAACTGGGCCATCTGCTCCTTGGGCACTTTTGGTGCAGGGGAATCGCTCGCCAGGGCCCTGATTTGCTCTTTTCTGGAGTCCCTGATCCCAGCTGGGGAAGCTGGTAGCAGCTGCCTGCCTGGGAAGGAGGCCAGGAGCCTTGTCCATCAGTAGGCCCCAGAAGCCCTGGACTGAGGCTTCCTGGAGAGCCCAGCTGGTGGCGGTGAATTCCTTAGCAGACCCGCCTAGGGAGTTCCCTGCCCTGCACCTTGGTTCTCAGCACGATTAAGGAACAAACTAAGTGGGTTCCCACCCAGCCCTCTCTGCAGGCCAGTGCTGGGCTGTGCACCCTGCCCAAGAGGCAGGCCTTCCATAGGGAGCCTCCTGTCTCCGCAGCTCTATTCTCTCTCTGTGGGTGGGGACTCAGGTGTCGCTGGACTGAACTGGAGTTAGATGGGGGAATTTCCCATCCTATGGTACTAGGGCTCAGCCCTGGAGGGCGAGGAGGGACCCCAGGCTGGAGAGGTGGGGCACAGCAGGAGGGATCAAAGCTAGATAGCAAGAAGGACTGACAGGGATGGCCCTCTGGCACACTCTTGACTTCTGCTTCTTTAGTGGGTGCTAATTCAGAAGAGGTGGAGGTGGGGTGCTCTCTGGGGTCCTTTCGAGCCAGATCTTCCTGATTCCTTCCAGCCTGGGTGGGGTTCTTGGAATTCAGGAGGACCTATCCTTGCTCTAAGGGCAAGAAGCGGGTAGATTCAAGCAAAGAGCGTTTCTCGCGAGTGGGAGTGGGGAGGTAAGGAAGGAAAGGCCGGGGGAACCCTAAGGGGCTGAGATTCCGGCAAGGGAGAGAAGAACCCACAGGGGGAAGAGACTCGATGTGGAGTCCCTTCAGACAGAGGCGCCCTAGTCTGCATTTCTGTTCCTTGGGAACAGGCAGGTTCCACTCTATTTGTCAGCTCTGAGCTGTGTGATTTTGTTTGATTTAACTCTTCTGAGCTTTTACTCTTTCTCTGTAACACATGAAGCTCAGCAGTAAAGTGCTCAACGTGCAGCAAGGCCCCTATACAGATTGGGTCCCGTGGGCAGGCAGTGATAATGTGCGGTGAACTTGGGCAGGGGGGACACACGCAGCTACAGCAGGTTGTCCCATCCATACAGACAGTGGCATCCTTTCGGGCAGGCCTGTGGCAGGACTGGGTCTGGTCACACCAGAGGGGAACAAGCCAGCCCACTCCTGGGAAAAGTAAAAAATGAGCAGCAGACTCCTGGGAGTGGGTTTTAGGTGGTGTGAAAAATACGGACTTTCTTGGCAGAGCATGAAGGCAGGAGCTTAATCAGCTTCCTTGTGGAAACGTTTTGAGGATAGAGGGAAAGTCCACTGGGGTCTCCAGCCTATAAAGTGGGCTTGTAAAGGCAGCCCCTTAACACAGCTTGAGGCAACAGGTGGGGGAGGGGAGCAGGGAGCAGGAGGGAAGGTCCGCAGCCCAGCTGTGCTGCTGGAGGCCTCCCTTCTCCTTTGCAGACTCCCCTCCTCACCCCTACATGTCCCGGCAGCCGTGGGTGCCCACGCTAGGGGGTTTAGGCATTGGGAGGAGAGCGTGGGGCTGCAGGGTACATGATGGGACGGGCAGATCTTGGCATGTCCAGGACAGCCATGCCCTAGGGTGAAGATCTGTTGGGCCAGGGCCAGATGCTACTGATGGCATGGTGGCAAAGCCTTCCCATCAGCCCAGATGTCCTGCGGCAGGGAGCAGGGTTACAGGAACCAGAACCTCGACAGGAAGACATTGTGTCTGGGGCACCCCACAAGCTGGGAGTTACTTGAAGGACAGTGAGACATGGAGAGGTGGCACCTGGGAGGAGGGGGCCAGGCTGCCAGGTAGGCAGTTTGCAACCCTGTTCTTTCTTTGCAGCAGGATTAAAGAGTAAACAAGGTATGGTTTCCTCCTGGCATCCCGGTGTGTACTGAATGCCGCATAGATGGCACACTCTGACCAGTAGCCATGGGGTCACTGACCCCAGAGCACAGCACTCAGACAAGACTGGAGCCCTTCTGAAGGGCCCAGAACTGCCATGCCCCTGGCTTCCCACACCCGTGAAAGATGAGGTCCCCTCACTTACTCCCTTACCCCATGTCACCCCAGGTCAAGGACAGACATACATCCTCCTAGATCCAGTCCCCATCGCTGTGGCCTCAGGAAAGCTCTGCTTTCTGGCCTGGAGGAGGGGCAGCCACGCCCTCCCAGGAACCCCCAAGGTCAGTCTCCAGGGCAGCTGGGATGTGATCGTGTCCTCCCCCTCCCCCCAAACATGCCAGGGTTAGTTGCAGCCATTGATTTTGCAGTGCAGGAGATATTTTTAGCTGGTCTTAGCGCCAGCTTCTCTGCCACACTCTTCTACCAGCCTCTCTGCTCAAGGGGCTGGGTAGGGGCACCCCTGGGGATCCCCCCACTGCACCCTCTTCCACTTCCAGCCTCTCCTCTCTGCCTCCTGTATTGGGGCACACCCAATTTTGGTGGTCGCACAGTGGTGCCTCTCCGGGCCATGCTCCTCCGGCCCTCTGCCCCTCTCCCCCGTCCGTCCGCACCAGCCGCGCGGTACTCACTGTCCAAGCAGGGCTCACACACAGTCTGGTTAGCTCCGCAGGGCTGGGCCACGCCCTCACCCAGGTTGCAGGTCTTGCAGCACTCCCCGCTGTGGGTGTACAGGCCGGACAGACATGCCTCCTTGGCACCTCCGAGAGACACCTAGGTGGGTGAATCAAAGGGTCAGACTGGCAAGAGAAGGGGAGGTGTCTTCTAGGCAGGATCAGGCGCCCCATCCTAGTGCCGTCTATTGGAACCACCTGTGCTGGGATGAGCTCACTGGGGCGGCATTAGGCACATGAAAGGAGGCTGCAGGAAGCAGGCTGTGGGGGACAGTGGCCTTGACAGGCTGCTGGGGTGGGGGTGACGGCAGAGCCGGGATGCTAACCTTCTGCTGGGTTCACCCCGGGGTTATGCTGCTTGTGGAATCCTGAGGATACACCAGATGGGGAAGGTCGCCCAGACCCAGCGAGGGCCTTCCTTCCGGCGGGGCATCGTGAATGGTTGGACAGGTTGCAGCCGGCACAGGGCCCCCAGCCAAGGGGGCAGCAGAGCTAAATCTGGTCCAAGCTTCACTTGCTAAGCTTCACACCTGCAGGGCTGCCTTTACTCAGGGGAGGGAGGGGCCTTTCCCTAACAGAGGCCAGCAGAGCCCTCCACTCCTGAATTCCACATCTTCAATATCAGTCGGCTAGTGTCTGTGACCCTGAGAGCAGAGGGCTGGGGCTTGAGTTCAAATCCTGTCTCTGCATGGAGGCTCTGGCCTGCCCTGATTTCCTGCTCTCCACAGCAGAGATGGCGACAGCTTGGTGCCCCACAAATGACCAACGGATGGTCAAGAGTCTGGCGCCAAGACAGGGAGAACAGGGCGACTGTTAGCAATGAGACAGCAGCTCCCTCCACCCCTGCAGCCCTGCCCCACCAGGGTTTGATTTCCAGGCACCAACCCTTCCCCATCCTGTCGTCCCATGTGGCCACTGGGAACAGAGCTGGAACCAGGGAAAAGGGGAGTCAAATTCCTGCCACTGAAGCGCCTTTGCTGGTGGATGGAATGGTTTAACACCAGATTCCCTAGAGGGAGTGGCTGCTGGAGGCTTGCTTTATATTTCTGTTCCTTAAAAGAAAAAAACTTAATGTCTAATAAAACTCCAAAGCCCGCTTTGCCGGCTCCAGAGCCTGCAGCCTCTATTAGATGCTGACAAGTCGGGGCTCCTGAGTCCTTAGAGCAGAAAGGAGGTTTACAAGGCTTGGGGCATTTCTCTGCTGCCGTGCTGGCATGAGCATGGCTATGGCATTCTTGTCCCTCCAGTCCTTAAAAATACCTTGCAGTTTCACCAGGGTTTGGTGGTGATGGGAACAGAAGAGGTGGGAGTTGAGGGGGGACACACAGGTTGACCACCTGGGGTCTCCCGAGCCTGTCAGGGAGGGTGCAGGCAGCAGAGGTGGGAACTTTCTCAAATACAGCCGCATGGAGTGCTGGGAACATCTGGGGGCCAGAGGCTGGGGCGGGGGATGCAAGCTTTCCCTTGCAGCCAGATTCTGGAAGGGCCTGTTCTGATTTCTTTTCATCACTTAGGTCTCTGCTTAAAGGCCATTTCCTCAAGCAAGTGGTCCTGCCAGCCCCCCGCCCAGCTTAGGTAGGGCTGCCTTGCTCCTTTTGCTGCCCTGCCTGATGTGTCCCAGACTCCTTCCCTAGGCTACCAGCTCCTTGAGGGCAGCTACTGGGCCTGTGCTGGTCCTGACACTGTAGCGGGCCCAGAGTACAGACCAGTGTACAAGCTTATGGGCTTTACAGATGTGAAATTCTACATATCCTCCATGCGCTCGAACTCTAGATGGGTGGGTCTCCCCAAGGCCAGTGGTACCCTGGAAATAACCCAGTTTCCCCCCCTAAACTGCTTCTACTTTCCACCACAATGGCCATACCCTTCTCTGTCTGCAGAACACACCCTCTGGGGGGCCAGGGAGATGGCTCAGTAGACTAAGCTCATGCCTGGCAAGCGCAAGGGTCTGAGTTCAATCCCGGGTAAAAAAAAAAAAAAAAAAAAAAAACCACCCTCATGGCTTCCCCAGGACTCTGATTCACAAATACACCAGAATTTTTTTTTTTAATTCTGGTCCTGGTGATCAAATCCAGGGCCTCACACATGCTGGGAAAATACTCTACCATGAGCTGCATCTGGGTTTGCTTTCTTTCTTTTTGGGGGGTTAGGGTACTGGGAATTGAACTCAGGACTTTGTGCTTGCCAGGAAGGCACCTCTGTTACTGAGCTATATCACCAGTCACCCAAGCCCTTTTTTAAAATTTTATTTTGAACCAGGTCTCACTACGTTGCCCAGTCTGCCCTGGAACTTGGAATCCTCCTGCCCCAGCCTCATGGTAGCTGGGACTACAGATACATACCACTGTGCCAGGCTTCTTGTCAGCTTTTAAAATAGTTTTTCAGGTCACCCTTCCTCTCGAGGTAGCAACTGTCACTTCTGGCTCCCTCCCCCAGCACCCTAACTTATTAGGCCTGATGGACAGTACTTTGGGATTCCTCTTTCACTTTTCCAGTGTCTTTTTCTGCACCGGGGTGCCCTTTGGCTGTGTTCCGGTTAATGGAGGTCAGTAGAGACCAAGGTTCCAGATAGTTGAGGTAGTCTATGTTAGTTGTGGGTAATGTGGTAGTTGTGGGCAAACCCCTCTGCCACAAATTCCTGCTCTTCCTCCCCTTCTAGACTTGCATTTAGAATGGGGACCACATAATTAGTAACCATGTGTTTCCTGTTAGATGTCCCCTCTGCCATAAAATCCCAGATCTGCTTCTTAATAGTATATGACTTTCAGTACATCGCTTGGTCGTCCTAATCCTCAGCTTTCCCATCTAGAACACTGCCTTGGGAAGGGTGACTGCACAGGGTTTCTGTGGAATTGAGAGAAATAAGGTATGCAAATACGTCAGTGCACAATTTGGGGTTCACTAAATGCTACTTATCAACAAAGTGGCTCATTTTAGGGAGTCTGAGCTGCTAACCCCAGACAGGCCCTAGTAGGAGCGAAGAGTTTAGCCAAGCAGGGTGGGGATTTAGCCTAAGGCCAGTGGCTCCAAAATCAGATCTTAAATGATCAATTTATTAAAATGACAAATACATTTGCCTGTAATTTATATTTATTACACTTCCTCATTTCCAAGAGAGTGATTCCACGTTTTCCAGAATGCTTACAGTCTATTTATTTATTACCATTTCAGGCCTTTCAAGGAACTAAGATGATAGGAGCCTGGAATGAATAGACTTTTAAGAACTTTTTGGAAAGTCTGACCTGGAGGGGCAGGTCTGCTGTCCCAGCTGGGGAGTTTGAGGGCATCCTAGACTACATAGGGAGACCCTGTCTCAGAAAAATACAAGAAAAAAGTATTTTAAAAAATTGCACAGAATAGAAAGCAAGTTGGAAACATCTGAAATTATGGGGAATGCTCCCACAGGCTGTCCTGACCATCACACACCTTGGGCATGGGCTCCCCAGGGCATGGGGCTGTGGGGCAGGAGTTTTCAGACTTCTGCAGTCTTTCGAGGTGGACGCAGACCCTGCAGCGGCCCTGGCAATGCCCCGCAGCCCTCTGGGTCACGGTTATCCTAATCACCCAGGGTGCCAAATGAAGGCTGGGGGCGGGGCTCCCCGTGGGGAGAAGCCACTGAATTCTAAGGCCAACTCCCAGGCTCGGGAGGAAGTCAGGGCCACACCTCCTGGAGTAAAAACCCAGCCAAACCTCCGCGACTCCAGCGGTGGCGCTGCTCCTTACTAACTGGGAAGCCTGCTCTTGCGCGTGAGTCTGGAAAGTTCAGCTTCCTCAACTGTAAAATAGGTCTCGCTAAACTCACCTTGCTGGGACTTCTTGAAGATTCAACAACGCGGGAGAAAGCTCCTTGGCAGGGCAAGGCACGTAGTAGGTGCGCAACACATTTTGTCCTCTAAGGAAGACGGCGAGGCGCTAGGGTGGACTGGGCTGACACAGGGGGGGCCCTGCCTTCCCCCCACGGCAGTCTCCCCACCTCCCCACCGCCCAGCGCACCCACCCTCCACCCGGCCCGGCCGCTCACGCCGTCCATTCGCTGCCTCTCCCCGCATCCCTCTTAGGCGCATTAGCTAGCGCAGCGGGTCTGGTTACAGACGTCTGAATGACAAAGTGCCTCCATTACCGGCGCGGCCCGCCAGCCGACCTGCCGCGGCGCGCTCCGGTTTCAGCGCGCGTCGCGGCGGAGGAGGAAGAAACTCGCAAGCCGCGCTGCACAGCGCAGCGCCTGCCCGGGCTGAGCCGCCCCGCGGAAGCAGCGGCCAGAGCCGCAAGTCTGCGCGGGGTTCCCCTCCCCCAGCTCCCAGCACCCCCAGGCCAGCTTTCCATCTTCCTGGCCTCTGCCCTATTCCTGGCCACCCTCTCCTGCCCAGTCCTAAGCCCCCGCCCCCGCCCCCGTCCCCGTCGGGATCCCCACTGCAGGCCGCTCCGGGCCCCCTTCCCACCCTCTCTGGTCCACCTCCCGCCCCAACCCCAGCCAAGAACCATCTCCAACAAGCAAATGCGCCCGCAGTCCCTCCGAGGTCCCCCCGAGGTCCCCAGACAAAGCCACAGGTACGAACAGCTCCGGGGAAGCAGGTGTGAGCGTCTGCGATGGGCCCAGCACCTGGAGAAGTCGCTGTCCACCGCCCCCATAATTCACCGCCACCTGACGCCAGGGTGTCGACCCCAACCCCGTGTGAAACGCCGCTCCTAGGCCAAGCTGGGACTCGGAGAGATGGGGGAGCACCTGGCTGCGAGTCAGGTTGGGGAGGGGGTCCAGCCACGACTCTGGCCCAAGGGACTTGTGAGACCTAAGCCAAGCCCTCGAAGAGCTCCCAGAGCCTCAGTCTCCTCCTGTGTAAAATGTGGGCTTGAAGGGTCAATGCTCAGGGGAAGGTGGCAGCGAGAGTGAGGAGCCACTTCTACTGCCAACCTTCCAGGCCGTGCGCCAGATCACAGCCCCTAGGTGCCTAGAACTCCTCCAGGACTCCGTGCTGAGGCGAGAACCTGCCGCCCGGCCGAGTCAGTGGACGCGGAGGGCCAGCGCTCGCGCCGCGCGGAGCTGATAGCCGGGCTGGGAAGCGCAGGGCGCAGCGAAGCAGGGCCGGCTCCTGCTGCGGAGGGTCGTCCGGCGCCCGGCAGTGCCCCCTGCGGGCTGCGTGAGTCTGCACAGCGGCGACTGCGCGCGGCCGGGACGGTCTCCACCTTGGGCGTCCCTGCTCTCCACACTCGGTGCAGCGACCGCCGCCAGGCAGATCAAGGGACGCCGGCTTCCCACTGCGCAGCCGCCACGCATAGTGTGAACGCGGTGTCCGAGGAGCCCACTCGGCTGGGGACCCCGGAGTGGGCTGGGGGCGCAACCCGCCCTTCCCCCGCGAGGCGCACGAGATGCCCGGCAGCAGTTCCCGGACTGGGCGAGGCCGCCAGGAAGGGCGCGGGGAGCGTCGGTCCCGCACGGTGTCTTCGCCCCGCTGTCCCTTCGTGGGCAGGCGGGGCCGCCACTTTAGGGTCCGCGCTCGCTTCTCGCTCCGCTTCCCGTCTTGCTTGCACCTCTCTAGCTCTCATAACCCTCGTCCTCTTCTGTTCTTCTTAAACCACTTCTACTCCCCTCAGCCCCTGTCCGCTCAACCTGTTCTTTGACGCCCCTCCCCCCTATTGTCTGGCCAGTCCCCATTGTCCGTGCCGGGTCCCCTCCGCCGCTGGTCCCTCCAACCTCCTCCCCTATTGTTCCATCGCTCATCTCCGTCCCGCCCCGGTCCCTCTCGGCCCCACATCTCTTGTCCTCATCTCTTTCCTCCTCCTTCCCGGCCACGGTTCCGTCCTATGCCTCCCCGGAGACTGCGATGCTGAGAGGAAAGTCGCCTCGGGATCCCGTCGTTCAGGTGCCCGAGAGCCCCCTGCCCCCTTCCGCGAGCCCCTCCCAGCTCCCTACGCCAGCCCCGCGGTCCCCAAGCCGGCATCCGCGCGGGTCCTGCCCCATCCCCATCCCGAGACTTGGGTTCGCCTTTGCACTCTGAGGTTCCAGGGCGCTCCCCTGTGAGTGCCGGCATCGGAGGTCCTCGCCCGACCCCCGCTCCCCGCTCCCCGCGTTGGGGACCCGGGCGCTCCTCTGCTGGCTGGGTGATGACCCACGGTTCCCCTCGGGATTCCGACCGGGTTGGACTCACCCCCAGGAACATCAGCAGCAGCAGGCGCAGCCCGTCCATGGCGCGGCCCGCGGCACCTGCCCGGCTCGCCCGCCTCTCGCGGCAGAGCTCCGCGTCCGGCTCGGTCCCTTCTGCGGGCGGATGGGGCTGCGCTGCGCTCGCGCGCCCGCCGGAGCTGGCCCGGCCGAGGCTCCGCTCGCTCTGGCAGCCGGGCGGCAGCGCCTGGGTGAAGCCAGTGTGGCGGCCCCGCCTCCTCACCTCCCGGCCCGCCCACCCCCGGAACCGCGCCCGCCCGCCCGCCCCGCTGCCTCGGGTGGGAGCGGGGAGGAGGAGCGGAGGGGAGGTGCGGGAAGCCGCGCCCGCTGCCGCTTCTGCGCGTCCCGGCCCACCAGCCCCAGTACTAGATGCCCAAAACCGCGCAGGGCCCGAACGCTGTGGGCCTGGGGCCAGGGCGTCCCCGTCACGGCTTGCGTCCTCTCCCCCGACTCGAGGTTTGTGCTCCTACCCATCTTTCTCCGCCTCTGGCTTCAGCGCTTCCCGGTGCCTGGCTCCCTTCCCTACCCCGCTGCCCTTATGAGCGAGCGAGCTCGCTGGCCTCTCTGTCCCTCTCATCCCTCCTCCTCCCGGGGCTAGGATTTCTGGACAAAGCCCTAGGATGCGTGCAGGTGGTGTGCAAGGGGACGTGTAAGGTGGAGTCCATCCCAAACACATTTGAATTCTCGAATGACGGATTTGGAAGAGTCACAGGTGTGCACATGGCACCTGGGAGCACGCAGCCTGCGCATGTGCCCGTGCTCTGGAGTGTGCTCACGCCAATATTACACACTCATGTGATCCGGGGCTTTCTACGCAGACCCCTCCATGCGCCGGCACACCGGAAGATGCATGCCATGAATTCCACATGCATATGAACAATCACACCTGCAGAAGTGCCCCCGTGTATCGGGTCACACAAAGTGCACACATATACTTTGAACCTACACACCCACCCCAGATGCATCTCAAGGACAGAAACTTTACTGAACTGTGAGCGTCAGCTTCCTGCAGACCAGGCCCACGGGTTCCAATCTGACTGCCTGGGCATTCTGTATACAGTAGGTGTCCAATAATGGCCTGCACTGAGTGGTCAGTGGGAAGTTAGGCCCGTTGTATGTGATTGTCCCCGGTGCCACCACTGTCATTCTGTAGGAACTGCAGGGGGTCAAATCACAGGCACTGCTGACCCAGGAAGGTACCACCAATCTACCACAAAGTATTGTTCCCCCTCCTTTGTCCCCTGTGCCTGTCTGCACCCTTTCCTGGTTCCTAGACATTAGGCCCCGGAGCACACGGCTTTAGGAGGGCACATCTGCATAGCCCCTCTTCAATGATGGGGGAAGAAGACAAAGAGGTCTCATACAGAGGGCCAGGTCACCATTGGTGGGTCATTTTCTAGAGCAGTTGAACTTCATTGATTGGTTCATTCATTCATTCATTCATTCATTCATTCATTGATTCATTCATTCATTGATTCATTCATTCATTGATCCATTCATTCATGGTGGGAATGGGAGGGAAACTGAACAGTCTATGAATTTTTCTTGTGTAACTAAGAAAGTCCACAGGGCCAGGGAGATGGCTTAGTAGAATAAGCACTTCCCTGGCAAGCGCAAGGGCCTGAGTTAAATCCCCAGTTCCAGGGGAAAAAAAAAAAAAGTCCAGGGGAGGACCCCAGAAAGCACAACTAGACACTGTTGTGGTCTTGAACACGAACTGTTCATGGGCCAGAGACTGGGTGTGAGAGGCCAGGGGCAGAGCCCCTCTTCAGGAGTCCCTGAAGATATTCTTCTCCCTCTGGGACAGGGATCACATCTAAAATATCTCCTCCCACTACTGCTTTACTGCCCTGCCTTCCTCTGCTGAATCCACGGCAGGCAGGAAGGGGCAACATTAGTACTAACAGCGGCGTCGATCCGTGTACTATCAAGGGTATCGACAGTGTGGGATTAATTTAAATACTCCTGTTATTAATTTATGATCGCAGTTACTATTATTGCCAAGGTTATCCATCTCAACACACTTTAATATGACCCACAGCACCACGCCTGGGCCCGGGTTATTAATAATTTCCATGGTCTTGATCATTTAAGCCTTTTTCAAACAATCACAAACAGCGAAGCTTACTATTATTAGCAGGATTTCTATGAGTAAACTGGAGCCTAAGACTCAAATGTAACTCTGAGTGCTGCTGGAGAGAGAGCTATCAGGTAGACAGAGCCGAGAGGCACTGTACACAGAGTCAGATCCCCGGAGAAGAATACTAACTTGCCCTGCGCCCACCGATCACTTCCATGTGGACTTAGGCCAGTTGTGTTAAATCACTTGGCCTTAGTTTTGTCATCTGTACAATGGAAATTTTGAGGAGACAGGGTGAGGGCCAAGTGAGGAGGCAGTGCTCACTGCAGAAAAGACTCCATCTCTTTTTTATTGTGTTTATTGAGCATCTACTATAGGCCACACATTCTTCTAGGTGTTGTAGACTCCATAGCGAGCAAAGGCAGCTGCCCACACAGAGCTGATGCTCTGCAGGGTGCGGAATTTGTTGTGAGGGGTAGTTTATAATGCAAGACGTTGGCTTGGCCATACAGGAGATTGTGCAGCTGTGATCAGGATGGGTCTTTGCTGGGGCACCAACCACCTACACCAGAATCAGCCCTTCTAGGACCTCTGGCATCCTAAGGATCACCTTCCCCATCATCATAGCTGCATGTAGCTACCCCAGCATCACCACGATGGCCACACTCACGGGCACCACGATGGCAGTCGCCATCAGCACTGCTGCCCCCACCTGTACCACCATCATGACTGCTGTCACCTCCCTACCACCAGGAGCGTCACTGCCAGAACAATCCCAGCGATTACCAGGTGACTGCAGTGGCCACAGCCAAGCATCGCCACCAGCAGAGCCACTGCAGTGGCCCTGGCCACCCTGCCACCTACCTCCCTGCCTCTGTAGCCGTAGCTGCAGTGAGAGTTGGATGCCTGATTCCTCTCTCTGCCGGCTGTCACCCAGCCCCGGAGGAAGCCAGGCTCCCTGACACCGCTCCCTGCCCTCCCATTCCGTGTGGGTCCCTGGACCTGGTCTCCACCCTGGGAACAGCCTGCCACTGACACCATGTTCTGAGCAGAAACAGAAGGGCAAACAATAAGAACTCACACTTCTCCACCTACCCATGGAACAGGAAGCCACACCAGGATCTCCCTTGGTCCCCACTGGGACCCCACAAGACACCATTTTCCAGACAGCTGAGGCTTAATAAGTTAATCCACTGGCCGGAGGGCCCCCAAAGAAGTTGCTCTAGTGGCCCTGAAAGCCCGGCTCCTTGCCACTAGCATCCTGTTCCCAGGTCACTCCCTCCACACCCCAAGCAGCACTAGCAGCCTCAGCCCCGAGTGGAGTGGGGGGACACCGGTCAGCTCACACCCTCCCCTCCAGGCCCCTGACCTGCAATCTAGAATCTGGGCCTGGAGGCCAGGGCAGGGTGGGCGGAGGTGGGCAGGGGCCTGATCTTCAGCTCTTCCTACGCCACAAGAGAACGAGTCACCTCCAAGCCCTAGTGCCAAAGTCCAAGCGCAGAGGGGTGAGAGGTGGGCGTTGAGACAAGGGTTTCTGCGGGAGACATCGCCAAAGGAAAGAGGAAGTGCAGGCCAGGCCAGCTGCATCCCATCTGCCCTGGGCAGCCAGCCAGGCAAGGTAAGTGAAACCTGCTGTCCCCATTAGGAGCCACCTTGGTGGCTTTGAAGCGGGCTGCAGGGATTGCCTGGGAGCTGACTCCTCTGCGCCACAAGGGGGGGCCTGTCCACTGAGGGCGCAGGGTGGGGCCTGGAGGTTTGATCCTGGGCTGAGTTAGTGGCCAAAAGGGTGGGAGGAATTAGCAATTTTGGAGTCCAGTTAGATTAACTGGAGCATCAAAGTGAGGCAATTGTACAGGGCCCGCCCTCCCCTCCCTCCTCCCCTTTCCCCCTCCCCTTCCTCCTCCCCCTCTCTCCTACCCCCCCTCCCTTGCCTTCCCGCCTCCCACGCAGTCCGCTGCAGCTTCCCAAGGCCTTCCCAAGCCCTGAGAGGAGCCCATAGAACCCACAGTCCCACCCTGGAGCCAGCAGGGGAGGTGCATCTGTCTTCCTTAGGCCTCCAGAGGAGTTTGGTCAGAGGCTTCCTTCTTCCCGTCTGCATCCTTTAGGGGCTAGCTCCCGGAACCCCAAGATCTGATCAGTTCATTCCAACCTTGGTGGTAAGGACTTCAGTCTCCCCAGGCTTTGTGTCGTGAGGGATGGTGCCACTGGGCGGTGTTACCACCTGAAGAGTCCCAGGCCTCATGGTAGGAACGCAGAGGAGATGCCAGGCTCCTGGGTGGGCATCAGGGCAGCCTGGCCCTCATGACGCTAGCATCCACCCCAGCATCTCCCTTCTTCCTCCTCTAGGACCTTGCCTTCCACGAGGAGCTTTTCCTCAAATCAAAACTGCGATCCTCCCTATACCCAGGTTTCAGGAGGAGTCAGTCCTCTTTCTATCCTGCGTTCAAGGACAGACAACTAAGAACTAAGCCACGGCTGGGGCTTTTGGGGATCTCAAAAGCAGGAAGATGAGTGGCCGAGCCATTGTTCACTGTGTGGCCATGGGCCAGTGCCTCCTTTGCTCTGAAGGTTTCCTCATCTGTAAATTAGGCCTAAAATTTGGGCCTCCTAGACCTAGTCTGAGGAGTCTGGAAGCATTGGGTGTGAATGTGCTCGAAAGTTGGGGAAGGGGACACACCTGACCTTGCTTCCTCTATGATGCTATTGCTGATGGCGGCTTCAGGCCTTAAGGTTGGAGACCAGACGAGGGGTGAGATGACATTTCAGCCGGGGAGACTGGACTCCAGGGTCCTTCCGGTTGCAGATAAGAGCCAGAGCTGTGCTAAGCGTTGGGTTCCATCAAAATTCCCACGGGAATGCCTGGAGGAAGTGCCGTCCCAGACCCCAGCTTATCGGCACTGCAGCGCGTCTGGGAAGTGGGGTCAAGTGCAATTGTCTGGGTTGGTTTCCAGCAGGGAGGGCAAAGGCCACGGACATAGAGTCTGGGTTCCGTCAGGCGGCCTGCTCCAAACGGGGGAGGATGCCTGGGGCCAGGGAGGGAGGACTGCTCATTCCCACTCCCACTCGTCTGGAGTTGGGGGCC